TGTTTTCACAAGAACTATTGCCCTATTTTAGCACAATCTTCACTTAACTAATTTTGTTAAATTGTTTTTTGAGGACATGTCTTATTAAAGGAATATATTGTCATTTATATGGTCATGAGCTAGGGTATATAAGGTAAAGTAGCATTCAAAAATTCTAATTGCAATCTAATATATCTAGACTCTTAGAGTTCCAATCAGAATTGAATTGAGGGTAGAGTCCCCAAAAATTTCAATATCTATATAAGATAAAAGATAAGTGAGTAATTAATAAAGAAAATTTGAAACTCAAAATTATTAAGAAAAAAAAGGTCATATATGCTATGAATTATGCAAAAGGCACAAATTTGTTTTCTGTTTAAAAAAATAATACTTTAATCTTTAATTGAGAGATACGAGAGACACATAACCAATAATAAACTTCATCATTTGAAAATAAGGGTAAAATAACATAGTTGATCCCAACTATTAATAAAACGATAATTTCATTGAATATAATTAAAGGATACGTTTAACCCTTTTCCCCTAACTCAATTATAGGATAATTTATAGGAAACAACTAGCAAGTAGCAACGACATTTAAATTAATTTAAGAGAGGAGTAATATATACAGAAACTTAACACAACATGATTAAAATTATATATATGTTATAAATAATTTGTGTTATAGTGAATGTCTAATTATGTGGAGTCCTTGTAGGATATGGTTAGGAATCCTACTTAGAGACCAAGTAAGGTTTTCCCTATAAATATAAAGGGTTTTCCTCAATATATTTCAAGAGAAATAAGAAGTCTTTTCTCTTTCTCCCTACTTTGTTCTTCTTCTAAATTTATACAGTTTTATGACACGTTATCAGCACGATTGTTCTATTTTTAAAGAATTATGAAGAAGACGGGAAAAGTGCAAAAGATATCTTGCATAAGTTATGCAATAAGGTTCTTATATCTTTAAGGTATGATTTATCTTTATGTTATAATTATTTATGTAACAGATCTGGAGGTACCATCTAAAGTAAGTATTTAAAGAGACCTGTCGACTTTCTATGTTTAATTTTAATCAACTGGAAGAGAATTCCTTAATTTATTTTAATAATTAAATAAAGCACAATTTAGTGAAAGATATGTTTTCAATCTGTACATGAGGTATGTGATCTATTAAACTATATTTATTAATTGCTAGTGTTGATTATAATAAATCATTAGTCTCAGTTTTGTGTGTAATTATAATATGTAATCATATTAATGATCATCAAAAGTGATAAAATTGCAATTATTTTCAAAGGCTTGAGGTTGAGCCTCATTGTGGGTAAAACAATGAATTTAAGTTATATCGCACAAAAAAGAATAAGACGCTGGATTTACGTCCAATCACACAAAGAGGGTAAGACATCAGAAGTCTTGATGCTTTGTGATGAAAGATGTTGGATTCAAGTCTCTCATTGATTTATGGCATAAGATGTTGGGTTTGAGACTCAATGCACCATATTGATGATATTATGATGACTAAGGGAAATAATGAGTTTTTGATAAAATTAGTCATGAAATATATCTCGTTAAAGCAGATCCATTCCCCAAAGTGAATGTAGCAGTGCATAAATGTCTAAAAGAAGACAATTGATTAAATGATGCACATGAATATGGAATGAGGTACTAAGTTATCAAAATTTGATGTACTTAGATGATTGTATTCCATTCATGAAGAATGAGAGCCTTTGATAAATGGTAAAAATACAGATCCATTCTTTAGAGTGAATGAGGTGATAAGCCACCATGCTAAACGTGAATTTTCTTGTAATGATTGTTAGCAAGGCAAGCTAATTGTGAAACCATCATAAACGAAAATTGAGATTGAATTCTCGGAGTTCTAGGAACGTATACAAATATTTGTGGACCTAGTCATCCACCTAGTGGATTGTTTAGACATTTAATGGTCCTAATAAATGTTTCTTCTATATGGTCTCATGTGTGCCTATTATTATCTCGCAATTTGATTTTTGCAAAAATGTTGGCACAAATAATATGTTACATGCACAATTTTCTTCAGATTAGATCATTCAATGATGGGATCACGACTCACTTAAAGGATAAAGTAATTGAGAAGAAATAAATCTGAAAATTACTCTTGGAGTAATAAAATTGAAATTTACTCATATAATAGTAAATCAGAAATTTACTAAAGCAAAAGACACATGACGTAGTAAACTTGGAGTTTACGAATACTAATAATTTTATTAGTTGGCATGAATTATTTGGTCATCCCAAAGACGTGCATACTAAGTAATGGACATACATTGAAAAACTAGAAGATTCTTCAAGAATTTTTTACGTTGCTTGTTCTCGTGATAAAGTTGATTGGATAAACTAAAGTTGGGACTAAATCTCTAAATTCTGAAAAGTATAAAAGGTGAATATGGGCCCGTTCACCTATCTTGTGATATGATAAAAAGATGCATCAAAAAGATAATCACATGTGCATTTGTTGTCAACTTGCAGTTTGACATTCGCAAAATTGTTTCTGCAAGATAATTGAGCTAAAATCACAACTTTCAGAATATGAAATCAAGATAATTCATCTTGATAATATTGATAAATATATATAAGATGGTGTGACATTAAATCTCTCATATAACGAATCGTTGCTTATGAAAATAAAGATTCATATGTTGATCTGAAATATGATATTACATACAAACATAATTGTATGAATCAAACCAATAAGTTATGATCAATTTTTCTGTTAATTGGTTTATGGTCAGGGACCAAATAATTTTAATGTGCAATATATGATTAATGAATATACTATGATGCACAAAGATAGATTCTTCAAAAGATTGAGATATATGTTAGTTTGTCTAACATAAGGGGGAGACTGGAAGCAACAAAAGAGTTGTAAATACTCCAATTGAATGTCCCTTAAGGATAAAGTCTATGATAAAGAATCAAAATGATCATAATAAGAAGATAATGTGCTCTTGGAGAGCCTACGACATAACACTTTATGAAACCTCATGAGAGGGGTAGCTACCTAAAAATAATGAAGTGATGAGATCTCAATAAGTTCTGTCGTATTGTGAATCGATACAAAATGATTTATCGTTGACGATATCTTTGATACAATAACGCTCAATATTGTAAAATATAATGAGGATATACATTATACATCTATTAAAGCATGCTTGTGTAGAAATAATTATCAAGTGAAAAATGGAATGATGTATCTTGGTAAGCGTAAAGCTTATTTGACTTGCAATCTAGGCACTAGAAGATGTCATACATCTAATATTGAATGTTGTTACTTGACAAAATTGATATGAAAATATCCGATGGGTTCAAAATATAAAGCATATACAAGTTTTTGGAAAACTTGTTTATCATCCTCATAAGGATTAAATAGATTCAAAATGCATAGAGCATATACAAGTATTATTATGCAAGTTGATGACTAGAATTGAAACTCTTGGCAATTATTTGCTTAAAGAAGTTGAAGTAAGGAACTTGCTAAAATCTTTGACCCTGAAGGGAAGATTTATAAAAGCAGATAGAAGAAAACATATTTCGTCAAGGTTTTTCTACACTCATAAGCTCCCAAGAATGGTGAGATCAACATGCAAGAGGTCTGTTCAAGTAATATTATTGTTGATTTATTCACCAAGTCTCTATCAACTACAACTTTCAAGAAGATGGTGCACAAGTTTGGAAAACGAAGATTCTAGTCTCTGAATTGATGTTGTCGTTAGGGGGAGTTAATACGCGATGTACTCTTTTTTCCTCATAAGGTTTTGTCCCACTGGGTTTTCCTTGTAAGATTTTTAATGAGGCATCCGTAATGCGTATTATTAGATATGTGTACTTTTTTTCCTTCACTAGATTTTTTCCCATTGGGTTTTATCTAGTAAGGTTTTAACGAGTCACGTAATCTGACATTCAAGGGGGAGTGTTATAAACACTTTGTATTATAGTGAATGTCTAATTATGTGGAGTCCTTGTAGGATATGGTTAGGAATTCTACTTGGAGACCAAGTAAGATTTTCCCCATTTTCCTTCATTGTAAATAAGATTTGTGAAAAATCTATGAATCCTGAATATATTTCAAGAGAAATAAAAAGTCTTTTCTCTTTCTCCCTACTTTCTTCTCTTCTAAATTTATAGAATTTTATAGCAATATACATGTTTTTTGTTTTAGTTAGGCAACGCTGGTTGGTAATAGTCACGTGATTTGTCCTAACTCCTAACTAACATTCCATTTCATTCACCCTCCGTTTAATAGTTGAAAAGGTGAATTTTTCATATTAAACAATTATCGTGTGATGTAAAGAAAATATTGTTAGCAATTGGTGGTAACATTATTATAGTGGAAAAACAATTTCTTCGTTGCGATTATTTTTCTTCAAGAAAAAAAAACAAATTACTTAGTAGGAACTACTTTTCAACAAAGCAACTACGCTTTTCCCCTAAAATAGTACTAGTACTTAATTTTTTTTAACCCGTCCCAATAAAAATAACACATTTTTATATTAAGTAAACTCATAATAAACTGATATTAAAACTCATAATAAACTGATATACAACTACATAAATATTTATCACTTATTTTATTTCATAAATCTTAAAAAAATAATTCTATTTTAAATCGTGTCAAATTAAACTAACTTACACATATATCATATAAAATAAAATGGGTGTAAAATGGAACAGAATACAAGAGTACATAAGTACCTTTTTACGAAGTTAAACAATATTCATTTTGAGTGTTACACTTTACATTTTTAATGTATTTTACAAGAAATAAAAATAAGATAATCAATATCAAAATAAATATTTAACATAATTTTCAAACCAAGTATGGTGGTACCTACCCTACAATTGGTAAGCAAAATACAATTCTAGAAAGAGAACACGTGAAATGTTGTTAGTTGGCACGAAGGGTAGTAATAGCTCCACGCAAACACTCCCTTAAAAATCTCCACCCCTTATTTCACCTTACTACTTACCGTTCTCTCAACATTTAAAAAGGGCACCTCATAACTCTTTTGAACAAAACAAAAAATGGCACCTTCAACACTAACAGCTTTAGCTAATGAAAAGACCCTTGAAACAAGTTTTATTAGGGATGAAGAAGAACGTCCAAAAGTTGCTTACAATAAATTTAGTGACGAAATTCCAGTAATATCGTTGCAAGGTATTGATGATGTTAATGGAAGAAGAAGTGAAATATGTGAGAGAATCGTAAATGCTTGTGAAGATTGGGGTGTTTTTCAGGTAATTGATCATGGGGTTGATGCTCAATTAATATCACAAATGACAAAATTAGCGAAGGAATTTTTCGAATTGCCTCCTGAGGAAAAGCTTCGGTTTGACATGTCTGGTGGCAAGAAAGGTGGCTTCATTGTCTCAAGCCACTTACAGGTAACAATTATTTCACCGCAACTTATTTTTTATTTTGATTTATAGGAATAAATAGAAAAAAAGTTAGTGATAAATTTCTAAATACAGAAAAGATATACCTACGGATGAAAAAGTGTTTGTAACAGATCCCCTTTTTTTCCGAGGTAGCCGTTGTATCGATAGTTTGAAAAATATAAAGTTTGTTTTAATTGTTATTTAAATTCTATGATATTGTATATGTAGATGAAAAAAAAATATTTTTTTAACGACAATTTGATAGGATCATGTTATTATTTTAGTATTTTCAGTTAATTTTGTCTTTATTTATTATTGAGTTATTTTATTTTATCTATTTACACCATTTTTATTAGTAGCTCATCATAGCAGTGGCGGATTACCGGGGTCAACCTGACCTCCAGGCGGGAAATTATAGGGTTGAAATTATTTTTTAGGTAGATGTATATAGTTAATGTCAAATTTCTTCAGCTACTTCGTGTATCTATTGAACCTCTTATTTAAAATTGGCTCCACCATTATTTCGTACTTTACTTTTTCTTGTAGATTCATTATTCAAAATATGGGTGTATAACGATATAATATAATTTATCAATTTACTATAACACTACAATTGTTTTGTAGGGTGAAGTGGTTCAAGACTGGCGTGAAATAGTGACTTACTTTTCATACCCCATTCGAGCTAGAGACTATTCTAGATGGCCAGACAAACCACAAGGCTGGATAGGTGTAACTGAGCAATACAGTGAAAAGTTGATGGATTTGGCTTGCAAATTATTAGAAGTACTATCAGAGGCAATGGGCTTAGAGAAAGAGGCTTTAACCAAGGCATGTGTCGATATGGACCAAAAAGTAGTTGTGAATTTTTACCCAAAGTGTCCAGAGCCTGACCTTACTCTTGGGCTCAAACGACACACCGATCCAGGAACCATTACCTTATTGTTACAAGACCAAGTTGGTGGGCTTCAAGCCACTAAAGATAATGGCAAAACATGGATCACTGTTCAGCCCGTTGAAGGTGCTTTTGTGGTTAATCTTGGCGATCACGGTCATGTAAGTTGGTACTACATATTCCGATAAAATTAAAATTATGTGAATTTAATTATGTGAATTTTGGACAGTATTTGAGCAATGGAAGGTTCAAGAATGCTGATCATCAAGCAGTGGTGAATTCGAATAGCAGTAGATTATCGATAGCCACATTCCAGAATCCAGCACCAGATGCAAAAGTGTATCCGTTAAAAATTAGAGAAGGAGAGAAGTCAATAATGGATGAGCCGATTACATTTGCAGAAATGTACAGGAGGAAAATGAGTAAGGATCTTGAGCTAGCTAGGCTGAAGAAACTGGCCAAGGAAGAGAAGATACAAACTGAAGAGGCCAAGTTGGAGTCCAAGCCCATTGAGGAAATTCTTGCTTAAGTGTTTTAACACTTGAAACAACAAGCTATGCGCGTAATTTCTTTTATCAGTATTGTCTTGAATAACAATCAATCATGTTCTTGTGAATTGGTGATGTTTTTAATCTTATTACAAAACAAACTTAGTGTTCCTTTATTCAAATTAAAGTCTTTTAGATGATGCATAACGCCATTTCCTACGGAGGAAGGTAAAATTATAAAATTGGATATACATAAAACTATACTCGTAGATCCATAAGACTTATATCTCGCCTCGTATTGTATAAAATGTCTCGTATCATGTCTCCTTTTAAAACACCGGAAGATGCTATATTATTAGCCCAAGTTTACTAGCCCAGCTGCTCAATTACAAGCTGCTCTTAGCCCAATTTTCCGAGTATAGAATGGCTATCGTTTAATTTTTTATTTTCTTGACATATGAAAAAGTGGTATGACAAGACTTAAGAGTTGACTTACATTAGTTGTTCCGTGTGAATAATAAAAAAAGTGAAAATGGCGGAAAAGATCAAATATGTCGTCCGTTACGTATTTTAATAGCAAGTTGCATCACTTTTTTCTTAAACTTGGAAAAACGCTTTATAATGTATATCGATGATAGAGAGATATTTAAATGGTAAATATTTTTTATTTTTAATTTGAAAATTGCGAGTTTAAGTCACAAAGAAGATAAAACGAAAGGAGTAAAAACTCCTAAAAAGTGTTAAAAACTATGTATTTTAAAAAAACTTGATGCGGTATCTCTAAAAAAAAAAATTTAAACCAGGAGGAAAGTGGAGTGAAGTATTTATCTTTCTTTTTTAATAAACTATCAAGGAAAAAAAAAGAGATCTGACTTATTTCTTGACGTATATACGTATGAGCTACTACCACTTTGTAATTGACAAGAAAAGAATTAAAAACAAGTATAATGATGTGGAAAACATTAAAGTAATCGAGTCATTTTAAAGATAATCAAATATAAATAAACATTCATTTTATAACATAAGAATAAGCATTAATTTAATAAATACAAATGAAAAGTATCATGCATAACCAGTTAATCTACATAAAAATTGTTTTATATTATTCGTGAATATATATGCCAGCTCGTTTACAACAGAAATCTGTTAGTTATCTCTGAAAAGAACATTAATATTCAAAGTTTGTAGATAAGGAGACGCGTGAACCTTTCTTGCAAGAAACACAATTGGCCTTTGCTGTCCTGCTTTCGGAACCTAATGAATCCATATTTCTCATTTATTTATTTATTTCTATATCTTAAAATATTATCGTCATTATAAAAAATACTTATCATTTTAAAAGTTGAATTATTCTCTTATTCCATGTTTTACTATAGTAAAAAGTTCATATACGTCAATAAAACACGTAATAAGTAAATAGTTATACACGCATCCCTCCTACTTAATATTTTTTAAGGACTACTATATAGATTAAAAATACACCAAGTATTTGAGATGAAAAAAATAGTATGTTGACTATTTTTTTTTTTATCATATACCCACTATTCACCGATAAAGATATATACCAGACAAATCTATACACACCATAAAAGGAAGAGAAATCATTTAACAATTTTTGTCACGTGGGATATATACTATTACTGAACTAGTAAGTAAGTGGCTCCTTTCAAACACCGACGTAGAGGTAGAGCACCCCAATGTTTGGACCACGTTTACGTAATGGGACACGTTTCTTTATTTTTTTTAACACTTACCTTATTCGAGTATCATAAGTTATTTTCTCCCTTTTTACTTAAAATAGCTCGTTTTAGAAGTGACATACCTAGTAATATTGTAATAATTATTATAGTGCTTACATTTATTAATTATAATTTTAAAAATAATAAATTAAAATTTAAAAACTTTAAATAAGAATATAATAAAAAAACTTTTTTTTTATTTTTTAAATTTATCAAAAAAAAATAAATAAAAATAACTAAAAGAAAAAATATGAACAAATAAATAGAGACACGAGCACCAAGAAAACAAAAAAGGAAAAGAGGCTCCACGAAAAGGCAGCACCTTATGTGCGACTACAGTTGAAATATGTAGAAAGTGGCCAATGGGTGCGTACTGCGCGTTAGGCATGAAAATTCATGAAGATGGAGATACTTTTTTCGACATCTCCAAATTCCTTTATTACAAAAAATTAAAATACAATGAATAAGTTGTAGTACTTTATTATTAGATCACATTATTTATTATGTATTAATTTAAAGTGGTTTGTGTTATTTTTAAAAATTATAAATCACACATTTTTTAGAAGACTTATTAGTAGATATTCTTTATGTACCCATCAAGAAAATAAGAAGAAGAAGAAGCAGAAAATGGAGAATTCAACTACCCAACTTACAAAATGATAAACTCTCACTCTTTTGTTGTATGAAATGGAAGTTTTTAAATTATGGAGTGTGAAAACAGATGGAGGGATTTAGTACGTTAAACATGTTTAATTAGAATTAACTCGATTTAATTATGTAATTAATTTCTAGTGTATCAGTCTGGAAAATGTTCTCTACTGAAAGCTAAGAAGATGTCCGAACCTCAAAATGATCAAAGCATTTGCTAGAAACAAAGTTTTTTTTTTCCCACTCCGAATTAATGGAAAATTCGTATTATAAAATATGATATTTCCAACTGAAATAACAGATCAATGAATGGTGAAAATGATTTTTTTAATTAAAAATTTGTGGGCGAAAACACTATTTTTTACCGATTGAATTAAATATTTGTAAAATTAGCACTGAAAGTATATGTTTATTGAATTATTTTTTTTAATTTCAAAAAGTTGAAATTATAGGAAAACTAGATATTTTTATTAACTTTTGGAGCATATAGTGTACAAATTCTGCCGTCTCCTATTGTGATGGTCAAATCAAATAACGCGCAGTTGTTTAAACGGAAACACAAAAAAATACAAAAAATTGGTCTTCTTTTGCGTTTCTAAAGGTAAGACATTGACGTAAGTTTTAATATTCACACATCTATTTTATATCACTATATTTATTTTTATTTATGTCGTATTTTATATTTTTTAAAAGTCAAACAGTTTAAATTTGATAGAAAATTTATGCATGAAATTATAAAATTTGTATATTTATAAACTATATAAAAAATACTATAAGCTACACCAATTAATAATAAAAATTATTTAAAGATATCTGAAAAATTTATGATCTAATTTTTTTAATTTCAAGCTACAAAAAATATCACATAAAATAAATTTAATATATAGCTAAACAAAAATCTTCTCTAATCCTGATTTTTAAAAATATTATGTAAAAAGTTCACATTTTGATTTAAATTATTTAAACATAGTTAACGCATTGCAAACATTTTTAATTTAATTTGATGGTGACTCTTTTTATTATTAGGTTAATTCGATCATTCAATCTTACAAAAGCCATATATATAACTAATTAAAGTACACAGAATATTTCGTTAGGCAAACGCATACGACTCCCTCTTCCCCCTTTTAAAAAGTTTCAACCAAGTAATTCTAGGTGAATTTGTAGAAATATTAATACTGAACTCATTATATTTTTATCATAGAAATTTTAATATTAATATTATATGATATTACTGCCCACGTTTTTTTTTTTAAATTAATCTCTCTGATGGACGGCGAGGCATTTTCTAAACAATATTGTTGTACTCTGCAAAATGCTTATCTATATTTTATTTTAATCGCCATGAGTTTCTTCTTAATTCTAATGGATGGTATACTGGCGTCTTTAGAAAATAAAATTCATCTTGAGTTGGTGATTAAACTACTCCCAGATTCTTTTTAAGTCTAGTAAGAAAAAGAAATGAATATAGGATATAATTCACTAAATTATTCTTAGTAAATGTTATTGAATTGCACGTTACTAAAAAACTTTATTTCTTTTATATTTATAAGAAAATAGCTAAAAAAACAATTTGTATCTTTAAGGTATTTTTATTTGATATAATTTTTTTTTGAGCTATAGTGATAGTTAACATATGATAACGGTTATAACAATTATTTTAAATAGATAAAGCGGTTATTAAAAAAAGGACGCTGGGAGTAATTAAATTCATTTTCTTTCCTTACAAAATTTAAATATATATGAACTGATTGTTTGAATCAGGTGAATGAAAACTGAGGTCAAAAATAGTTTGGGATGCATGAAAAATTTTAGTATCATGGAGTTAGAATGCAATGGATAAATGCCTCATAAATTTCTAAAATCATATTAATTAGGCTTATGTCATTTTACTGGTGGTCAATTTATGCTCAACCTTTTGACAAATTAATGCTTTGTAGTTTGTACGTATTGATAAATTGCCCTAAAATTTAAACTACGATTTGCTAAATGGGTGTCTATTTAAACATATATCTGTATATAGTCACAATTAATATTAAATTAAAAATTTTATACCACGTGTTTTTTGGTCTCACTTTGTCTATTTTAGTAGTCTTGATACCAAATTTCTGCACGTGCGTATGAAATACGTACCTGAGGAGAGGAAGTGACTGGGTAAATTGACATGAAAACACCAAAAACCTCATTTATATTTTCTTTTTGTTCCATTAAAAAAAAAAAGCGAGAGAAAAATCTCAATCTGCCATTAATTTTTTTATTAGAGAGAAAATGTTAAATATAGAAAATCAAAAGTAAGAAATTGCAAATATTCTCCCTCCATTCTTCCATGCTGAAAATAAAAAATAAGAGGGCTTATGGTTTTCTTCAAAATAAAAAAAGTATGTTTTTGACCATTAGCATGGTCCATCACCTCCTGTCTCTTCTTCCTTTCTTCCTCTTCCTATTTCCTATAATCTTTCATCTTTTAATTAATTTTCCCTCTTTTCTATTCTCCCTATATTATCCATAATCTTGATTCTTGATTTTTTGTTTCAAACATCTGAAAATTTTCAACTTTGAGGATTTTAATCATATATCATAATGGGCAACATATGTTTTTCTAGCTCAAAAGTTAGTGGTTCTAACAGCAACACCCCTTCCACCACCACCACAAATACCGCCGCCGTGAATGGCCACCGTAATCGGCGGAGCTCAGCGAACCCGGTTTCTGCAACAACAAATACATCAAGAAAACAAGAGGGGTCTCATTACAATCGACAGAAAGGTAAGGATAA